TGGGGTCCAGGCAATACGGTCGCTCGTGACCGCTCGATCCCAGACCCTATATATACATATACATATACATATATTATATTATATTATATTATATTATATTATATTATATTATATTATATTATATTATATTTTGTTATATTAAATTATGTTAAATGGTATTATATTAAACTATTTTGTTGACACCTCTTTTCCTTCGCCTGTTGGGGTCCAGAATGCCAGGTTGGCTGAGGCGGGGATTTACGGTTTAGGGCTTAGGAGTCACGGCTTGGGACTCAGAGCTTTCCCGTTTAGTCGTTAGGGTTTCGGGCGTAAGGCTTAGACATTTCTGTAGTTTGATGGAGATTTCCACTGCAAATCTCCAGCGTAAAGCTCTAAAAGACTTCGGCACCAGACCAGAAGCCAATGTTGCAAGATCGCATGGTGTTTGTCAGCAAAGTCCAAGTGACTAGAGCTGTCGTTCAGGAAAAGTTTGCTCCTTTTGCAGATCTACGTCCTGGGTGTTGGTGGGAAAGCATTGTAGCCATCGGTTTGACAACTCGATCATGCCCGGATGCCCGCTGGCTATAAATCAAAGGTACTCGCGTTTGTGTTTTTGAAGTTCAGGGATCAGATCTGTAAATCTGCACTTGCAAACTTCTCTGGCCGAGTAGACGTTGGCCAACCCCGACATCGGCCTCGTCCGTAAGGTTCGTCGGAGTTACATAGGCCAGTTGGCCTCTCACACGCTTCTGGCTTTTGCTTGAAGCGCATACGATCAGGAATGGCAAGGTTTTGTGGCGTAAGCCGAACCGACGAAACTGAAGGAACCAAAATGCTGGAGCGCCCCACTCGGCTACGATGAAGACGTGCCGGCATTTCCGCAATAACCGTTATTCTCTGAATTATTGACGACAAAACCTATACGAGTCGGAAACATTATTCTGATCGCTCATTTGTGTCTATGCAAATTCACGGCAGCCGCGGATGCACATGGTCTTGGAGGGTTCGTAGCTAAGCTGCTGCATGCTAGCTCCCTATCCAGGACCCACAGAGTGGCGAGTATGCGCGCAGGTGTTCGGAGGTGTGTCAGCTGTTTTCAGTTGCCAACAAACCAGCGGCTTCGGCTTATATTTAGAATAATTCTTTCAGACAGCTTTCAACATCGGCCAGCAGAAACTGTGAGTCTGGTGTCCAAAAGCCGCTCATAATAGCGCTGGGTTTTATAGCCCTGCAGCGCGGACTGTGTTGCAACGCGATCACTGTAGTGTAACTGCACAGGTGAGCGGCCATGCACACCTTAAACCTCATGAGCACAATCCGGTGTAAGCTGGAGCCTAATGGCCCCACTGTGTCGAACTTAAAGGCGAATTCCCTCGACCTTGGTGCAGGATTACAGTCGGCAACTCCAAGCACGAGGCGGCAATCTGGGAGGTTTGTAGGTACATACAGAGAGAGAGAGAGAGAG